TCCACAACCGGACTATGTGGGGATGTCTGTCTCGTGTACAGTATGGATCTCACTGCCACTAATCTGCCGTTTGAGCTAATAAATCAGATCTTACTATTCACAGAACAGTCATTTCCTATTCTTCACAAGATTCAAGCAGCCTATTACCAGCAGGGTATTAAAAAAGAAAGTGTGAGACAGGTTGTGTGATACACAGCGAAGCCGGAGTGGCCTGCACTCTTTGGATGAGCAGATCAACTCCATACATTAACTTCAAACAACACACCGACTGTCAAGTTATTGAAATGGCACAGGACCAGAAACTGAGAAGTAGTAAAATGGAATTTTTTTTTTTTTTAAATAAGGTCTTGTGTGCTATTTTTTCAGATGAAACTGAAGAAATAATAAATGGAAGGGATGACAAAGCTCCCCATTCATAGACCATCATCCTAATTGTCACAGTAGAGTTTAGCGGATTAACAGACTCCTGAATACTTACAAACCTCCTCTTGTGTTTTGCTTTGTTCAGTCAGAAACTCAGTTTGTATTACAGTGAGGGACATCTTCGAAATCAAAATTTCCAGGTCTTACTGCTGTCTATGTTGAGAGACTAGGTTTCACGAACAAGTAAAGGAAGCAGACAAGTTCCTAACTCAAGGGCTCTCAGTCATTCTCAGGAGGTTCTGGTGACTAAGCAGGATCCAAATCTGGGCTCTAGTTAGACAACTACAGCTCGACAGTGGTAACAGAGCTGGCAGGCCAACATGTTCCACTGTAATTGCGACAGAATTTTGTCCTGAACGGTCATAAATTTGTATTTCATTACAAAAGTGAGAGAATGGAAACTGAGCCTTTAGCAGATGGAAAGGAACAGTTTCAGCCTTACGCATTTGTGAAGACACAGAGATGCTTTGAAGTTTTGATCCTGCTAAAATGAATCCAACCTTTTCTATTCTGTTAAGAACACTTTGCTTTTTGTATCTGCTCTGTGGAGGAAGTTTTAAATTTAGAACGTGTCCATGTGCCAAGTTATCCCTAAAAAAAAAAAAAAGATACTTAAAAAAGTCATAACTGAAAATAGATCTTCAGGTATGATCCTACTACTGCTGAAGCTTGATCTGGACCACGAAGAGTTCTGTTTCATGTTGCATAAACAGCCACCTCCTGCTATATAATCTAACAGGATGCTTGTTTTTTAAAGCATGACACTAATTCATGCTACATTGCCCTACTTTGCTAATGAGAATGGCACATGAGAAAGTAAGAAAACTTCAGGCAAGTCTGAATGACAGCACTGCTTCTCTGTGGCCACAAAACTTGTTTTTCTGTCACAAAAGAAAACTGAGTTGGTTTGAGATAATTTGTTCTTAGCAGATTCAGACCAGCCACTACTTCTTGCTTTGTTATGTTCCAGATACATAGAAGCCTGATTACTCTTTCCAGTATAAAAAAGGTATAGAATTACCATAATGAGTCCAGTGAAAGGCCACGGAGAAGCTTAAGGGACTGGAGCATCTCTCATCTGAGAAGAGGCTGAGAGCTGGGACTATTCTGCCTGGACAAGAGGAAGCTTGAGGGGGGGGGGGATCTCATAATCTATAAACACCTGATGGGAGGGAATGGAGAAGATGGAACCAGACTATCCTCAGTAGCATCCACTGACAGGACAACAGGCAATAAGCATAAATTAACACTCAGGAAAGTCTATCTGAACACAAAAACTATATTTTTTTTTAATTTATTTTTTTTTTACTATGAGGGCAGTCAGACACTGGAACAGGTTGCCCTGAGAGGGTGCAGAGTCTCTATTTGCATAGATACTCAAAACCTGACTGGACGTAGTCCTGGGTAAGCTGCTCCTGCTGTCCCTGTTTAGGCAGGGGCAGGGATGGACTAGGTGACTTCAAGAGGTCCTTCCCAACCTCAACAATTTTGTGATTCTTGGAACTGAAGTTTATATAGGTCTACAGAGTCTTCTTCCCCTTTAAGAATGCAGACACTTTGCTCCTTTCATGAATTCTGCAGTCCCACTGATCCTCCTAACCATTTTACGATTGTATCACCCAGTTTTCTAAACACCTCAGGGTGAATTTTATCAGACTAAGCTGGTCTAAAAGCATCTCACACTCATCTGATTAGTCTCTAAACTGTTGTTTCAGTATTGTAGCCTGCCTTGCTGCCCTTTGTTACTCGTGTGAATTCCATCTGCTAATGGACATCATTCGACATTTAAGGAAGACTGAAGCAACAAAAGACACAGAACACTTCAGCCTTCTTAGCACCAATTGTGGACCAACTTGCTCTTCCTTTTACAGTGTGTATGTTTGCAATGATTTATTGCGATACCTCACATCCCTTGCTAGCTGTTCTTATTTTGCACCTCAGCTTGCTTAATTTTAGCATTGTACGTTATTATTACCCTCAATTTTAGTAATTGCATCAAATTTCCACTATGTGCTTTCCCTTTTCAGGTTGTTGAAGAGCTCATTTATTTCCTCTGTTGATACACTACTTTTCTCAGCATGCAGGCCTTACTAGCAGCTTTTTTGAAGAACCTCACAGTCTACTTGTACTCTCTTGCCACTAGAACGTATTTCTAAATCTATTGAAGGCCGCTTAATTGAACTGTTTTATTTTCTTGCTGTTCTTCTCTTCCTAAATATCGTGAGTTACTTACTCTTAACTCACTTTCACTCATTTCCCTTTCGTATCCACATTGTCAATCAGTTTCCTCCAACTGGTCACAAAGAAATCCAGAATACAGTAAAAACAGAAATATGGATGCAGGAACTTATTCTGAGAAATTCAAAGGGAAGGTGAACAAGTGATGAATGAGTGCTGCAGCCCTTTCAAAACCCAACATGTTGGACATCAGTTTTTTCTGAATACACTTTAAACCCTTAAATACTATTTCCCTAAAGACCTGGTTTTGCAAAAAGTAAAACAAAAGTCCCTTTGTAAAAAAGTTTTTGAAGTCCATCATTTCACCTGACTTAGTTTTACCTCATCATTTTACCTCATGCAGTCTGACTTTTTGAAATGCCTCCTTCCCAGATTGCCTCTGTACTACTCTCCTAAAGCACTGCTTCCCTCCTGCCATGTTCTCCATCCCACCTATTAATAGCCAACTACTTTCACTCCCACTGAAGAAAAGCACCTATTATATTGACACATTTATGGCTGTTAAAATGTTTAATGCTCATGCATCCCATCAACATTGTCCTCTTCCAAAAGATCACAGGATCATAAGGTAACACATATTGGAAAGGATCTCAGGAAGCCATCGAGGCCCATGTTCTGCTCAAAAAGAAGTCAACTATGAGGTCAGACTGGGTTGCTCAGCGTTTTATCCAGTTGGGCCTTGAAAACCTTTAAGGATGGAGACCGTACCATGTCTCTGGGCAACCCGTTCTGCTGCTCCATTGTCCCAAGGGTGAAAAAATTTCTCTTTATTTCCAGTCAGAAATCTCTCTTGTTTCAACCTATGCCTGTTATGAGTTGCCCAGGGACCAGTCTGCGGTTCCCCAGATTGTTCTTTAGTCCCTTTTTGAAGTTGGGTGCAACATCTGCTTTCCTCCAGTCATTGGGGACCTTCCCTGGCCTCTGTGACCCTTCGAAGACGTTGGAAAGTGGCCTTCTAAGGACATTAGTTATTCTCAAGATGACTCATCTGGTCCTACGGACTTCTCTAGTCCAAGTTCCCTAACACAGTCCCTGATTTAATCCTTATCCACAGCTGGCAGTTCTCCTCCTCCTTGAACCACTTCTCTAAGCACAGAGGCCTGGGAAACCTTCGTGAAGACGGAGGAAGAGACAGCATTGAGTACTGGTGCCACACCTGTGTCCGTTGTCACCACACCACTCGCACCATCCAGCAACACGCCTGCATTCTCCTTGCTCAGCCTGTCACTGTTAACGTAGACCCTGAAGATCCCAGTGTTCCCTGTGACATCCCTTGAAAGCCTCAACTCCATTTCAGTTTTGGCTTTTCTGACACCATCCCTATATGCCCAAGCAATGTTTTTTACACTCCTCCTTCACAGCCCATTTCTGCTTCCACCTCCTGTACGCTGCCTTTTTACACTTGAGCTCTGTCATGGCTTCCCTGCTGACCCAAGTTGGTATCCTGATACGTCTCTCTGCTCAACGACAGAACAGTATGCACGTTGTTTTGGCCTGCATCAATCATCATTTTATAAATTACCATTTCTTTGATATAGGTTTGTTCCACATGGGAGAAATATGTTCGGATAGAAATATTTCACAGGCATTGAATACAGTGAATCTAACTTTACTAGAAAATTACACAGGTAAGAGATGTTGGTTGCCTTTTTGTTAAAGACATAAAAAAGAAAAAGAACAGATTAATGAAAAACATGCAGACTTAGGAATGATTTATATTACTGAGACTCTACAATAACGTATTACAAAGCAAGTTTTAAATACACCCACTGAAGTAGTTGGGGAGGGGGCGGTGTGATGCTCAATCTAGGACTTCACCATCATTGTGGATTCCCACAAATTGGCTAATTTATCTGCAGAGCAGACTTTTAAACATCAGTAGGGATATTAGTTTGTTGTATGTAGCAACACCCTGGCCAATTTCAGCGGTGGTATGCACAGATGGGTACGCAGAATGATGACAATGATAATGTCCCCTCCAGTTTATTACAGATCATAAAACTGCAATTAAATAAAATTTGTTATGCGACAACTTGATTTGCTTGTACATTCCAATTGTGTTTTAATTCTAGTTTTATGGTATTTGGTACACAGGCTTTGTTTCTATTGTTTTCGAACAAATCAACAACAGCTTAGTAAGTTTCCGAAAGTACATCAGAAACTCACAAAAGACAGCAATTATAAAAACACCCCCAAATTTCCATGAGGCAATTCCTTGTTCATTTAATCTTCTAGATGGGGTATCACAGATTCTTCTAAAAATGACTGTCATCACACAAACTAAAATGACCTCATTTGGTAAAAAGTTAGTTGTGACCACACAGAAAGAAGCAGAGGTCTCCAAATGAAGAAGAAATACATAAGATATACGGGATATTTTCAAAGACAGCTTCTCCATGCACGGGTTTGACTTCTGCTGACTTCAGCAGAAAAGGCAAAAGGAGGGCTGCAAGTTACAACTTCAGGATCTAAAGATGTGAGCAAGAGATTAGTTACCTGATATTTCTAGCTTTGGTTCTTACTGGGCATTAACAATTATTAACCAGTACAGCAGTAGCGTTCAAAGTCAGACTGGCCAGTTATGCAGAACATCAAACAACCGAATTTGAAATAGAGCAGAGCGCAGCTGCCTTTGTCTAGGACACATGGATGCAACAAAAACACCTCTAGGTGCAATAATTACGTCGTGTGTTTATTCATATGACCTCTTTTTATAGAAATAATACTACAAAGTCATGCAGAAATTCTCACTGTTATGTTTTTTCATTCCAGAATCAAATTTCTTCAAGAGAAACCAGGTGCTAATTTGTTGTTCTTCACATCATGAATCTGAAGGAGAAAGCCCAAGCAAGCCAAGTATTTTGATGATCATTTGTGTACCTTCTGATTTCAGAAGTTTACCACTCTGCTACCATTGCCTCATTTAAATAGGGCAGAAAATCAGTCAGAACATACACATCTTAAACTTATCTATTTGAATCACGTATGTTCATGATCTACAATCTAACATACCGATTTCACGGTAAATCTCTAATTCAAGAACAGAAAATGTAAGTGCAAAGAATGTTACTGCCAAGACAGAACTTGCAAACAAAATCTGGGAGTTCAATTTGCTAGGAAAGCACAACGTTGCCTCTGAAACAGTAAGTAAAGCCTTACTAAACCAGGCTTTTCCTGTTTTTTTTTTTCTTCATCTACTTATTAATTTCTTTTCAAAACTGGTATCAAAGACTTCATATCAAAGACTTGCTAAGTCAATAATGATTTCCATTACCTTAGAGTGATAAATGTTTTCCAAGCCTTTTTATCATCATTCAGAATACCAGGTAAAGATTCATGGATGCTAACATGACAGTTTCTCAGCTTTTGGTATTTTGCCTTGTTCTTCTATATTATATAAAGCCTGCTATTTAATTTGGGATTATCTGGAAAATAATTTCCATCTATAGGTGTATGGAAAAAACCCATTATATGCTCCCTACAGTTTAATGAATTTTACTAAGAGGAACAATAAATGATGATGAGTTACAGACAAAAATCATACACCGATCTATACAAACTTATAACAAATGTCTATTTGCTGGAGTAAATTTAAGTCTCAGACTTACTTGGCAGCGGCATCTTTTCTCAGCTGTTCATGTTTCATTAAAAGGTTCTTCCTCTCTTGAAAAGCCTTTCTAACTTTGTATCCTTTGTAGACAGCCTGAATTTTGAAAGCAGCGATGTCCTGTATGGCAGCTATAGACAGAGCCCCATGTTCTAACATGAACTGAATCACTTCATGGTGTTCACCAAGCAAGGCGTAATCAAGTGGAGTATATCTAAAAAAAACCCAAAACACACAACACACAAAGCAAACCCACAACAGTTATTGTTGAACTACAATTCTAACCATAATGTACATTTAGTTCATCCTCATTTCATATTAAGGCAACTTCTAGTACGAAGACAGATTAAACACCGTTTCCAGCAGGCTGTTTTACTAATTTTTTAATGCTATTTTCCTGTCTCCTGTACTCACTCTACACACTGTGACTATGTTTAAGGCTTATTTTAGTCTCCTAATATGGGGGGGGATCCTGCAGACTTGTATCAAAATCCTCCAAAGCCCTATCCATAGAATTAACTGCTGTAGGCAAGCAATCTTAAAAAGGTGTTATTGAGATTCTCATATAGAAATATAATCTAAATAAAAAGTCAAAACATTTCCTGTGTTATTTCCATATGAATTTAAGATCTAGAGACCTACTGTCAAATGTGGCTTGGCTTCTACAACAATGACTGGGTACTGTACGACTGACCCAGCAGCAGGATTACACCTCCATCAAGGGATAATATTTTTTTTTTAAAGCACTAGGAAGACTTAAGTCTGTTTTCAAATGGACATAGGTGCAAAAAAATATTATATGGCTTTGGTTTTTAATGGTGGGAAAGATGCCTGAGCCCTTTTAAAAATAATTCCCAGATTTCCCATTGTCAACACAGGAGCAAAATTTACAGACCTCCCTCACCAACACTGAAACATTGGGCAAAGACATAAAGTAACTGAGAATTATCAGTCACAACCATAACCAAGACCATAGAACACAAGACTATCAAACAGCAAGTGTCAATGCATGTGATTGTGAAAATTAGGGCTCCTCTTGACGGTAACTTGCTTGGACGCAATGCTGGTAAGCAAAAACAAACGGACAGAAAGCACAATTGGACTTGCCACACAGCAAGGCTTTGATGGAAGGATTAACAGTGTCTGAACTGAAACGTCTGCAGGAATAAAGACAATGACATAACATGAAAATTTGTATGTCAAGGTGTGTTGCCGATAACATTTAAAGAGATACAGATTTTTGATAACCTAGGCACGGGAACTTCAGAAGGGACCTCATTTCAGAAAACCACATTTTTAAAGTATAGCTAGTTCTGAATATTTTATTTAACAGGTACAAAAGATACTAAAGTAAACTTTACGCTACTAGTATGGGCACACCAAGACAAATATCATATTACGGACCCCGCTAATGAAGACCCATGTTTTTAAACGTGGATTCTCAAAGGCCGTTAGAGCTATCTTTGACAGCAAAAACATCACTCACAGCAGATCTGACTAGGGGTTTGTACCCATTCCAGGCTGTTCACACACACTCCTCACGACCTGCTGTTACTCCGTTGTGTCAGTTCAAAACCCGGTTTTAAATTTTCTTTTCCGTTAGTTATCTCTAAATCAGGTAGACTTTACAACAACTGGCCTCACAGGGAAACACACAAAGATGACATCAGGCATCGGCTGTTATCCGTAATTCAGCACCAGGCTGGCCCAGCAGCAGCTAGCCTGGCGTCACGCGATGCACCCACGGCATCACGTTGGGTTACGAAATAGATTTGCAAAGGCCAACAAACTTACCACCCTCCCGGCTCGCACTTGATCACGTAACTGTGAGGAACCGGGCAGCTTAAAATCCTAGATGCACTCTCAGCTCCATCTTTTCACAAACATATTTAGTTTTAACCACTATGTTTGAATTTTGAACTGCTATCTCAGATTGCACCCTGAGAAAGTGAAGAAGGGAAGCTTCTTTCTATAGGTACATTAGAAACAAATTTACTATTTGGTGAAATTGTTAGTGACTAAAAACCAATTTCATCCAATTACGGATGAACCATATCCATGAGGTGTTTTTTACTCTCTCTTACAACACTTGACTTGATTTTTCCGTTTCCAAACTTCCGATCTCTTAACAATAAAACAAGGTTTTGTAGATGTTTATTAAGAGGCAACTGTGCAATTTTTGTACACAATACATCTATTTTTAGGAGAATTTTATTTAAAGACTGATTCATCTAGAAATACGGGGGATCAGTTTTGTGCTGCACATGGACCAGCGCTTAGGCGCTGACATTTGGCAGTTACTTGACTAGTTATATTTTAAGTAACCTAGGTTCATACATAAGAATATATATTAATGCCAGAAGGGGAACAAAAATAGATACTAACTGAATGCCTATAGTAAAACCACAACTAAAGTCTTTTCCTGACATCTGAGCATCATTAGTGCATTTCTACAAAGTAAGGAAAATAGCAGCCTCCTTTCTGGCAAAATAGTGGCTTTTAATCTTACTTATTCAGAGTAATTTAATTACAACTGTTTATTTAATTTTCTATCAAAATTACTAGAGAGAGTGTTGGCATTACTTAATTAGGGACTGCTTATACTTTCATTTGTGTTTCTTAATAAAAAATAAGAACAGAAAAGGAAGGGAGATCTGAGTGGTTTAGAGTAGAGAACAAAAGAGAAATGATGGGAGAAGAACGCAATAAGAAACTGGGATAAGTATGGAAGTCTCAAATTTAGCACTAAAATATGGGTTTCAAAGTCCTTAAGTTATTTATAATGTTGAGATATTCAGATTTATATGGCATACTGATCATAATTTTATTTATAATTATAAGGAGGTCAAAAAAGGCATTATAAGTTTCTGCTAATAGTCATTATCTTCACAGTCAGGTGACTAATTCGAACTCCACAACCCAAATCGCTTTTAAAAAACTATTAATTATATGCCAATGAAAGACAAAGAAAAGAGATGCAAATGTACTGTCTCTCTATGATTATAGGAGGATTTTTTTTAAATTAAAAAAAACTAGGCCTTTAAAATACAGTTAATCACCAGGTAGTTTATAATCACTATTTTAAAACATAACATTACAATCCTCCCATTTTCTTTCTTCTCACTGTATTCCTACCAAACAGGAAAGAGAAGATCCAGTCTGCTCCAACAGCAGCAGAAATGCCTTTTTATCCTTTGTCCGTACATATCCAACTTCATATAAATGAAAAAGACCTTTAGAAGACTAGAATGACTAAATACTTGCAGAAATCTCTGTAAGTTCAGGTTCAAAAGTATAAACAGTTGAAGCTGCAATGTCTTACTTAAGAGATTTTTCACATTAGAAGAGCTGCTTACACTGAAGCTCGAAATTACAGCACTCCTTTTAGATAACAAGATCACAATTCTCTGGCAACATCTGAACACTTAACATCTAAACCAGCAGGTAGCACTTTTACTAAATTACAACATAATGCATTCAGACGAGCAATACCTCTCCTCACTGTTCTCCATATGATTAGGGAAAGCATCAAAACCAAGCAGCAACTTTATAGCATCAAGGTAGCCATTGTTACAGAGCCAGTGCAAAGCAGTTCTTCCCTGTAAACAACAGAACAAAAATAAATATCACCAAATTCTATCATGCCACAATAAAAGTCATAAATCATACTGTAATTCAATGCTTTTCCAGACATGAAGGAAAACTAATTCTTCTAAATAAACTTCCTTGTTAAAATAAAAGAATGCAGCACTTAAGAATGAAGTAACTTTTTTTTTGTTTAACTTAGATTACAACACTAGTGCTTTTTCACCTAAAGCAGCTCCAAAACAGCATTAGGAGACTACCTCTAGAGTTGTTTTCTTTGCAGCTATGCTGCCCAGGTCTGACGCAGCTCTCGCCAACCTTTGTAGTTCAGACTGTTTTCTAGGCTGTTCCAAAACACTGTGACAAGACTGAAAGAATTACTTCAGAATTCAAAATCCTACGAAGTTTGAGGAAAGCTTATCAGCCCAGGAGAACCAAGAAAGACTTCAGCTGTGCTTTCAAAACGAGCTTGATTTCAGAAGTCTAGTTTTCTCTCGCATGAAGCAGAAGTCCAGCTCTCCAGCTGTACTCTATACAGCCAGCTCTTATACAACCACTCTTGGAACTGAGGTCATAAAACCACAATACTAATTTTATTACCTCAAGCTAATATCAACATAACATAGACACTTCACTTCCAGGCCATGCCTTCTCTCTGTGTCCTGCTTTTCTGAACTCCAAGTCCAGGAAATATCCAGAAGGCTGAGAACCACAGGAAAACATGAAGACATTCTGAGTTCAGCGCTGGCAAGCCGCCCCCTGAACCCCAAGGGCTGAAGAGCAAGCTGCAGCGTTGCTGTGACACGGGTGGAGCTGATGTCTTCAGCTGTACTCAAGCTGATGCCACACAGAGCTGGTGCAGGCTGGAAAATCTCCCCAGCATGCTCTGTAGAATTCCTAATAAAAACCACTTATCCATTACCTGGAATTATCCAATGAATAGTTATGTTTAACAAATTGGGTGAAATTCTGTTGACTGAAGTTCTACTGACTTCTGAGAAATTATGTCATATAACAAAGAAATCTGTTACATGTTGCACAATTATTCTGGCTCCTGTTTTAACTTTACTGCTTGAATAATGGCACAAAAGAACATAGAAACAAATCAGTGTTCTTTTTTTTTCACCTGGAAGAGCGCTACATATGTGGATACTTGTGGACAAGTAATTGAAGCAGTTCTTGGGCAAATCTCACTTGCAATGTCTTACTTGCTCTATCTCTATGCTGAAGAAACAGACTATAAAAATCCCATTCTCCTGTCAGCTGTTAATAAGGAATGACAGAAGTTAAGAAATCAGGTGATTAATATGAGTCCTCATAAGATCACACTTTGATAAGGAAATGTCAAAAGTGATATGGAAAAATAGGAATCTTCAATTCATCCTGCATATTAACACATTACTGTTCATTCAAGACTTCAGTAGTAAAGTCACAGGGAAAATTACACCAGGATGCATTTCCTTTTGTGATAACCAGCAGCAAAGATGCTTCTGGGTCCCAGAAAAAGAGAATGACCTTGAAGAAAAGGAAAATGTTCCGATTTATGGTTATTCTACAGTTAATTAAATAGGCCAGTGAAGAACAACGTACCTCTTTATCCTGAATATTTGGATCTGCGTTGTTCTCCAGTAACACCACCATGCAGTTAATGTAACCTCCGTAAGCAGCACACTGCAGAGGGGTTCTACCTGCATAATCCTGCACGTTAGGGTTGATTTTGTTTTCTATCAAGATTTGGCACACGTCAGCGTTTCCTCCCAGGGCTGCCCAGTGAAGGGGTGAATGGCCATCTTGGTCAACCAAATCTACTCGTGCTCCTCCTGTAAAAACAAATACATTTTTCAACATAAAAAGAAAATGCCTTTTAATGCAAAGAAAAGAAAAGAGTAAGAGTATGTTCGAACTAGAACTTATGTGGTAAACTGACAATTCAGAGAAATATTTCTGAAAGTAACTTCAACTTTCTTATTCAAATGCTAAAACCTAAATCAAAATTACCAGGGAATGAGATAGTTTCAGTGAGGGTCAAGCGCCAAACTTTTTTACAAGCTTCTGCGTATCCTCTCAGATGCTTTAGAACCTCCAGATTTGTCAAATGCCCTTGAAAAAAACCTAGCCTTTATTTGTTTCAGGCCTATTAATTTTCAGTGAAACTTTTATTTCTTAACCACAAAAATCACTTTTGAAAATTAGACTCCAGATGAAATCTCTTTTTAAACCTCTAAAGCAGACAAGATAGTCACAGTGTAAGAACAACTTTTGAAAAAAGCTTGTTGGTTTTTTTTTTCATTCAAGCATGCTAAGACTCTTTTATGCAGATAATTAATCTCTCTCTGTGTTCTTATAAAATGTAAAAACATTCCATACGAAAATAAAACTCCACAAATACAAAAACTGAAACGAAGCAGCAACTGCCTGTATTAATTAAACATAACACAGATTCTGATCACCGAGCTTCTTGCATCTACAAAATCTAAATGGCATAGGAGGTGAGGAAGAATTTAATAGGAGGTTAAAACATGCCCAGCAGATCAGAGGGAAATGTGCTTTTCAAGAAGAAAGGTGGCTGGAGAGAAAACTTGCAGCATGTTAGACTGGATATTTCAACTATCCATAAATGGGATAATATTGCAAGTAGGAGGGAGACCGCTTCCAGCTACTTGGAATGTTTCTGTGAAGCTAAGATGACAGAGTTTTGCATGATACCACTGTTCTTACACTTCAGCAGATTTTTTTACAGTTATCTAAAACCGTGTACATTGTTAAATCTTGTTTATGTTGACAAATAAAATATAGCTTATAAAAGCCAACCAGAGGAAAATATTAATGATTTTGGATTTTTTGATAGCTACCTTCATTATAAAAACAAAGATTCATTTAAATAGTCACAAAGTCTTCAAAAAAGTCTTAAAATGCTTTCTCACAAAAAAAAAAAAAGCTTGATTTGGTCTTATTTACTGAAGAAAAAAAGAAAGAAAAACAATGACTTGCTGGAGGAAGAAGCGGGTTGAGAGACTAGAATGTACTTGAAAAGGTTTGAGCAGGAAAAGATCTGTGAAAAGAACTTTCCCCGATTGTTGAGAGACTAGAATGTACTTGAAAAGGTTTCAGCAGAAAAGATCTGTGAAAAGAACTTACCCCAATATTGAAACTTTTATATTTAACACTTCCAGCCATTTTGCACAACACTCTGATAATCTCTTATATTTACTAGCGCTGTTCCACAAAGGGTATTTACAGACAAATCCTGCTTTAGGGAAGTAGTTTTCTCCCCCACCTCTTGCTCAGCTATGCTGTTTATTTCCCAGCCCCACCGAAAGCAGCACCAGAACTCTGCACAGGTCTGTAAATTCCTAACAGCTGACCTTTAATGAGTGTTTGTATCACTTCTTTGTGTCCCATCTCACAGGCGCGGAAAAGCGGCGTGTGTTTCATGACATCCAAAGCATCCACCTGTGCGTTATGTTCCAGCAGCAATTTCACTGTGCTGACATGGCCAGAAAGGGCAGCAGCGTGTAATGCTAGAAGAATAAAGTAGTAGGAAAAAGAAATCAGAATACAGTGAGCTTTGGAGGTTTATGATTAGAACAGTCAAAGTAAAAAGTTATTTCAACCATTTTTGTTGGAAAAGGTGCTTTTCAACCACAAGAAACTGAAGAATAGTGACCATCAACCACATTTGCTTGCCTTACGAGCAACGAGCGGAAAAACTGTTAGCCCTGAAACATGTTTCTAACTTGTACAAATAGGAATTTTAACCTTAACACCACCAAGACTGGCTTATACTGAGGATTCGGGGAACGTTAGCAACTCCTAATTAACAGAACATAACATGATTAATTCTGCTGCTGTTTTGGGGCATTTCTTACACCAAAGGAGATGAAACAGCCCATTGCCAATGAAAGAAAGCTTTCCTTATTTCTTCAATGTTTTCCTGAAAATACCTTTTTTACGTTGTTCAAATAAGCTGACTCAATTAAAACTAACTCCAGGTAAGCACCCAGCTGTTCCTAGGCCCTTTTTTTTTGGTCAGAATTTCCTGGAGAAAATTTTACACAAAATTATGTAGCAAGGCCATCAGTACCTCCATGTCTCTCCTTGTTTGATGTTAAAACAGGCAGGGTTCGGATCCAGCAGAGGCATTATACAGAAAGACACACCGCAAAGGCCAACATTAGGAAGAACTGCTTCTTGAACCACAGCCAGGATATCAAAACACCCGGGCTTTTTGTATTTGCCTGCTACTGTTTACCACTGGCACCAGCTTCACACAGCTCAGGGAACAGTGACCCAGCATAACCCGTTACGCAGGCACTGCTAAAACACACAGGTTGTTCACACTGCCCGTGAATCAAATCCAGCTGAAGCGTGTTGCCTTAAAACACACGTTCTCAAAATTAGCAATAGCCACTGGAATTGTGATACAGACAAATGAGGCACTTCCTGCAAAACCTGGGGTCATGGCCAGTCTGAGAAGCTCTGCCTTAGGAACTGGAATCATGCCTTTAAGATGCCTTAGGAACTGGAATCATGCCTTTAAGATGACACTGGTGGTTAACTGTTGCAGCTAAAAAGCACAGGGGCACCCATCGTGCTCGTGAAAAGTATCCATAAGCAGCAAGATACGCAGGAGCTACGTGAGCGGCTGCCCTCAGCAGAGATTTGACAGGAACGAGAGCCCTGCCGCTTTGTACATGTGGATGGGCCTGGTTTTCACGGGCTGACCTCACAGTAAACTCGAGGTTCTGTTTTCTGTACTGCATTTCTTATGAAACCAAAGGCAGTAAACCACTCCATCGGATGACACATGGGGTGTGTGCAACAATACAATAGAAAAAGAGCTGCTGTGTCAGCTTGGCCGGTTCTTCCCCCCTATCACTCATTCTGACGCAGGCATCTTGTTTCGCACTTTGTGCTCAATATTTTCTTGTAAGCCAAATTTTCTGTGATGGAGTCACGGTGACTGAAGAGATTCTCCGGCCAGCTGGTCACAATAGGCCCTTTGTTCAGCCAACAGACAGAGCCCTCTCCATTGTACCCAGTGACGGCAGAGCTATAAAGCTGCCCCTGTAATGCTCCTGCAGCGCTGATCTCTGAGAAGGGGGAAATTCCTTTCCCTTGGTGTCATTCTCCTACACAATACGGAGAGTCTGGATGTGCTAGCAAAGCTGAATGGAGAGCTTGCTCTTTTTAAGTAAATGCAAAAGGCTGCGTTAATGCAACATTATAACTGAGCTTCACCCAGGCGGCACACAAAAGTCACGAAAACACAACCTTGAACTCTCCGCAGCAACTGTACGCCAGGCACGGCGGCATGTTCGCTATTTTCTAGTAGCGCATAGTTTCCCCGTCAGAAAACAAGGCTACTCTTCCCTCGCCAAAACCCAGGAATGATTAAGAACCTTTGGAAAAAAAAAAAACAACCCAGGTCTGAAATCAGGGAATGATTTACTGCTGGGCTTCTGTTTAAGTTTACAGCTCGCTGTAATGAAGCCCAAGCTCCTGCACATGCTTGCACAATGGTGAAGTTCAGCCTGCTCGACAGCGAGCGGCAAACGGCAGCATTCCCCACGTTAAGACTATTAGTGTGCTCTACACAACAGCAGTTTCAAGTAAATGGAAAAAATCCATTCATTCCCTTGGATTAAAAGCCTTACAACAAAATCAAGATTAAAAGGTGATTACACATCACCGCTATGAAAGGTTTAAGACTGAGAGATAATAAACCCAGCCACCTGAATTATTCAAGCATGAAATCCACACCTGAGTAATTTCAGAAACACAGTATGCATTTACCGTCTGCGAAGAAGAAAACGCTTTGTAAGGAGGCTTGCACAGTGACTACAACATTATTGCACCTTCAGGTCTGAAACAAATACTGTGAGGTATTTAAAAGGGAACTTTGAGGAAGGAGCAAATATAGGTGAGACTGATAAAAAGGATGAAACAAGACTAAAACTGTAGAGTGTGCAGCTTGTAAAGTCAACAAACGTGAAGACTGGGATTTTATTTGTTGCGCTACTTCTTAAACTCAAAAACTACATTACTTGGAAAGACTGATTTTTTTGGTGTGTTAATTTGCAAGGAAAGCAAGAATTTAGATTTTTAAATAGAATTTTATGGTAACCGTATTTGGCTTTTTGTGCAAAGACTCACCATACCACCAAAACAAATAAAAAATTTCAGGCTTTTTTATTTGAAAGTAATATTCATACCCAATATCTTTCAAATCCTAAATCACACAACCCTCTCATCGCATTTATTTACCATTTGTATGCGATTCGAAGTGGGAGCTGAAAAGAGAAAAGCTGTTGACCTCGTATCTTTGTTTCTTGCTTGGGACAGACCTGCGCTGCAAGCTCCCTAAACCTAAGCACGCAGCTTAGGCCAGTGTGTGTGTGTGCGCGCAGCCAACAGATACTGCTTGAGCATACTTTAAAACAAACATATTAAAATTTATAAACGAACATTGCAATATACAGTCTTGTTTCTTTAAAATAACACCATTTTCTTTCCAGAAGAAATGCCTTCCACGGTATTATTCACGGGTGTGTGCTCTGACTATCAGCTTGGCCATCACTTTTCTACTTCTTATACCTAGGTCTACGTTTTTGCACTTAACTTCTAAATTTGTGACCTTGCTGTGACTGGCATAGGGTAGTTCACGACCTCCTCCTACACAGCTTACCCCTGCAGCCCCCTGCTACCAAACCCCTCCAATTTATGCCCAACATATCCACATTCTCCTCTTTTTTTATTCAAATGTCATTGGCACACTATACAGCTCCACTACTTTTCCCTGTATTTCCAACACTGTTGAATACAGACACCCCTCAACAACTGCCTCTCTGTCAGAACTGTTAACGCTATTTTTGTTGAAAGTACTACACAGCTACAATATTTCTACCACAGATTCTTACAATTTTTCATTAAAGGAGAGAAATTCATAGTTGCTGTAAGAAATTTTGAATTTCATGACTTGCATGCTTGAATTCTGAAACACTGTGTTGCATACCTACCTTTTGCTTCGGGCAGGTAACGGGATGATAAACTTTGGGCATATCAACTTTAACCTCTTGTTTGGGCAACAGAAGTGCCATTGCTCTAATGTTTATTACACTATCTTTACAAATAACTACGGCACTTGCATTTTCATGATGATAATTTAGCCGCTTCACTGGTTAGTTTGCTCTGGATTGTTTCAAAGAATTTATTTACTACACAAATATATTTTTTTTAACAGGCATTTTCAGGAAGGGGTTTTTATGCTATTATATTTCATTTTATTCTTCAAAATTCAGAACAGCTCTTCCTTTCCCAGGATTACAGACCTAACTAAAGAGCAGCATAGCAGTACACTACTTCTTGCTATGTTTCAAACGAACGGGTCCAATCTGCACGGAAGAGATTTGTTTCTTTCCCCCAACAAGGCAAAGAAGTGACTCACACACATAATTAAACTGATGCAGAAATATTTTCAGGATTAAGGTACACATCCAGGAAAAGATTAATATAGCTTCTAAAAATTATTTTTATTTGGTGGTAATCACACTAACTGGAAACACCCAGTGGCTCTTTACTGTAAAGCATCTTACCTGTGCCAGCGTATTTGTCCATCATATTGATATCAATATCCAATTTTAAAGTCAGCATAGTCCTAATGACATCATCACTGCCTTTGCCAGCTGCCCACATGAAGGACGTTCTTCCCTCAAGATCTGAGTCATCTTTTACAGAAGGATGTTTCAAAAATACTTCAACTGTTTCCTGAAAAGACATACTATTGAAATTAACATTAAAAGGAATCTGTAACAAGAAACTATTGTGTCCCATTCAGCTGTTTATGAAGCAAATCAAAGCTTCATTTTCCCTTTTTATGTTTATATAGAGTAACAGCTCAACAGGAGCCCTGTATTTTCTGCTATGCCCTTTTCCTCATCAATGTTCACAGTGCATCCTTACACAGCCATTTATTTTATATCTTTTTCATTTTAGTGTCAAACATCATGTGTTCATCATAAGAAAGTAAAAGACACTGCAGTCACTGTGAAGAAAGCAATGGGAAAAAATATTATCAGCTTATCAAAACATTACTGTAACACTATGAAGCTAAAATAATGTTCCTTCAAAACATTGTCCTGACTTTTTTTTTCCCCTCCAATTCTAAATATGACTATACATGCAAATGTTGTAGTTTGCTAAACTCTAATAATTTGACTATTCAAAAAAATCCAAAAAAAGGACTCTTGGGGCAATGCAGATCTATTTCCTACTATTTAATAATATCAACAGGTTACTAATTACCAAAATATTATAAATCAAAAAAGATTAAGAAAATCTTTACACCTGAGTCCAGGCTTTCCATCATAACTGTTAACACTAAAATCTCTATTTAAATCAAAGCAAAAAGAATTATTTCTTCAAATGCTGTGTTTGTGTTAAGCTCTCAGCCAACAAGTCCACTTGTTTAACCTCCTGCTAAATTCTTAATAAGCCACACAGGAAAGGAAGGGAGAGGAAATCACAACTGCTAGAAAAAGAATGAAGGGAAGATTTTCCCTTTTCTCTCTAATGCCTTACGAAGGCTGCGTATCTATCAGCTGGTAAACATCTCTCATAAGAGGCACCCACTAGCCTGAAAAAAGTGGGTTTCATTCTTTTATTTTATTTTTACCTTTTAGTACTAACCCTATGTTATCCTTTCTCGCATCTGATCCCAAAATAGCTCTATCACTGCTCTGGGTAGGATGAGAATTCCTTGGCTTTAAGGAATCAAACGCTTATAAGCACAAAGGTGTTTAAGTGCCTAAGTCCTATTGACAAGTTTGGGGTTTTTTAACTACTACTTATTATTGCATCCCTCGAAAGAAACAGGAAATTTCTCATTTATCTTATGTTAATGTGATCTAAGATCCTAACAGCTGTGTGAATTTGGGTCCATACCTGAACTATCAGTTTACTGTAAAAAGGTCCAGCCAGGAGTAACGAGGAACAGAAGCATTAAGGCTTCCACACAAACCAGCGGGTGTGCAGAGCTTTGTGCGCTCACACTGACCACCACTACACCTCGGACACAAGCAGCTACTCATTAGGCCAGCAACTCAGCGCCCTCCCAGCCCTCTGCACTGCTGGAAACCCCGCAAAGTGAAAAGCAGTCTGAAGGCTGGACCTTTTCAATACCAAGGCACACATCCTACAACCATAAATAAGCAATTTTATTTTTCCATTAAGTTTTCGCAAAGCAACGTTTCTTTCAGCCACTCTTTCTTTTTTTTTCCCCCTAGAGTTTTTAATGGGAAAAGGTGGAAGAAAATCCACTACAGTGCTATAAAAGTTATTTTCCAAAATTAAGTTATCACAACTTGAAAACAAAATTAACTTAAATTAGAACAGGATGGTTAAGAAATTGGAAAACAGAAGTATCAATCAGTTTAATTCTACATGTATTTTGTCATGAAAAATCACATTTTTTATCTCTATTACGAAAAGTGGAGAAAACAAAAGAGAACAAAGCTGAAAAACAACAACAAAGGAGAGAAGTAAACCTGGATCATTTCATTCTGTGCTACCAAGAAACCCTGAAAAATACTAAATATTATTTTTGACTACTCAAAAATAAGATGGGTATCCACGTTTCATTGACTAGATCAATCTATACAAGTTTGTGAAAGGGAAGTATGTTATTTTGGACATCTCTGGAAAAATTTAGAAAAAAATAATATGTATTTAGTCCTGTATTCTGCACACTAAACCCAACACTAATAGAGCATCTGCCTTCACCCATGAAATTCAAAAATCTAAAAAGTATGTTTATACTTGGATCTTCTGCGGGATCCATAAGCCATTTACATTTCAGGCAACCTATTCGGGTGGTTTTATTAGGTAACTTCTAAAACTTTTCCTTCTTTAATAAGTGGGGATAAGTTAGTCTTAGAGAATAAATTCTTCATGCAAGTTAAGTGCCATCTAAGTCTCTTTGGTCTTTAAAAACCAAAAATGTCAAATTAAAGTAACCAACTGCAGAAAAGCAGAGCAAAGAACAAGGTCTCAAGTGAAGCAAAACTGAAAGTAATTCAAATTTTTACAATAAACACAAAAGAACAAACTGTCATCTTCTTGTTAGGGACTAAGAAACCTCGCATTTTAACTGAGAAACGTACCACACCTATCCAAACTTGGGCAGACTGAACTGAACAACACCATGGCTCTCACACCACAAATATATAGCTGCTGCTGCCAAAACAGCATGGATGTGTCTCTGCTCAGTTGTTTGACTATGTATATGGAATGCAGTGGTGGGAATTACTCAAGGATTCGTATGTAATCGAGAAAAAAAGCAAAAAGAGTGGTGTTCAGAAACAACTAGAGTGATTTTAAAAAAAAGAGAAGCACCAGACATAAAATTTAGGCATGCATAAATAGGGGCTTTTGGATGCATCACCAGCCAAAAGAGGCTTGTAGATCTGAATGAGACTCTCCTGTTTGATTCTTCATGTGAGATGGGAAACAGAACATTCATTGTAAGTACACAAGCCTACAAAAGAATGTCTGATTCCATCACCTACTCTATTTCCCCAGAAAAACCTAAATGATATCACAGTTCGGCCGGCTGGTGGGATCAAAAGGCAGCAACATAATGAAGATGTTTCATACAACTGAATCAAGCCCAGAGAAAGAAAACCAGTATGAAAAAACCCATTTTTTAGGAATGTATCAATACAGAAAAGAAAAAAGATAAAAACATGTGGAGATAATCACCAGATTGTAAATAAAAATATTCTATCTTTCCCATGAGTCTGACTCAAACTAGAAAGAAAGGCTTCTACAACATCAGTATTTTAGGCATGTGAGTCAGACCCAAACTGTTCATAACATGTAATGGACAATAATCAGCATCAATTAAAAATTCTCTAAAAAGGTGTAAATTATACACAGAGATATGCTCCAATGAAAATCTGAATTTAGAAGATATCTGTATGGTCTTACTAAGACCACCTCCAAAAAACCCCACCAAAGCCCTGAAACACTCTCCCAAGGAAACAGGTGGTGACAGCTGTGGTATCAATACACACTGGTCAGTTCCCTCTTCCAGTAGTCCTGCTGGATTTGTTAACTTGAATGGTTCTCAAGGGCACTAAAATTTTACTAGTTTTATGGAAATTAACATGTGACTAGGCAAGGAAGACCCAAATTAGTATCCCTGTTAAGAGAAAGCTGCTATATGTGCTACATGACTCATTAACTAGGCACTAAATAACCCCTTCTGTAAAGGGAAGTTATGAATAATACAACTGAAGAAAACTGAGGTAGGAGCTCTCAGAGCAGCATGAAAAAAGGCTTCTTAAGTTCCAGTGCTCGAGAACTACTTCTATAATAACATCTATGACCAGCAATCGTTAAATTGCTGAGTTTTATACTCAGCTCTACCCTACCTAATCTTGCTGTGGAAAAAAATTACCTATTCCACCAAAATATAAGAATTAGGCTGTCTGAGAAACGACTTTTCTTTGTTGTCTGAATTTAAAAAAATATTTAAAAAATATTAAAAACTTGAGAAAACTTAAAAACACAGTGTTCATGGAGAATTGTGACAAAAGGTATTCTTTCTTTAACCATGCTTCATGAGACAATGGCTCATTCATAAGAGCAAATATTCATGCATTAATCACGTTCTTGAAGGCAAAGACTGCTTTGACTGCTACTGAAGCAGCTGTGCAAACACTCATCCAGGTGATCTTACTCGAGATACCTTATAACTGCTTAGGTTTTGTTATAATGAGCCTTAGAAAGTGAAAGCAGGTGCCATTCTGCGTTCTGCTGAAGTACCTAAATGACTATTGTGTGTTCTGATGCAAACATATAGATCAAAGGGCCTTTCTTTGTAGAGCAATTTAGGTTTTTAAAATCTATTTTTAATAGTTTGAAATTAACCGCATTTATATCACGTAACACTAAAAAAACTCTGAATTAAGTTTGTGCAGACAACGCCGTGTTTATATGATTTTAAAAACAACTCAAACACTTTGTTACCTTATAAATATTTCAGCCAAACATATTTACTTCACATTCAGGGCGTGTGCTACTTACAGCAAAGTTGCTCTGCGCTGCATAATGAAGGGGTGTTGCACCTTGACTATCAGATGGGATAGTTCCAAACTTATTCCTTTCTAATAAGAGATGGACAATCTGTGCATGACCTGAGAAAAACAATAAAACCGGTTATGTATCGAATCCTAAAGTTAAACACTTCCCTATCAAAAAAAAACCCCAAACAAACAGAAGAAAATGAACAGACTTCAATAAATAATAGTACGTTTGTGTTGTAGCCATTATAGTCTAAACATAAGACTTGATATTTGAACTGTTAAGCCTGGCATGCACCTTCTTCCCAAGAGTGTTCCAGTCCCCTTATTTTTCAGTGGCATCTGTAAATCAGAGAGACCTATGAATAGGGACATGTGGAAAGATTTTCTATTTCTTTTAAAAGAAATCACTAGAGCTTTTCCCTAAACAAAGAAACCAGCAGTAGCTGGTCAGACAACTGTGATATTAACGTTGCAATGAATGAGTTGAATATTTCCAGAAAAAGCTCCTGATAATTCAGCTGAGATGGTGCATTTGAGTGAGAGGTCAGTCAGAAGCAGCAAAGGGAGCCCAGACTGACGATGATGAGCGTTTCTCCATCTACATGAAAAGGCAGGCCAAACCAACATTGACACTTTCATCCTACATCACATTGTTTCATAGAAATTAAGTGTAAATTCTTTACTTCAGTTTTACTCAGTCAAAATTTCAACTGTAGATGTATAGCAGAATCTGGAGGCTAGTCTACCACCAGCTGCCGTATCTGCAATAAACGACAAACTGACATGCACAACTCCTTCCATCAAACCAGACCAGAATGATTTTAGATTAAAACAACAACATTTGGGGGGAGGGGGGGGAGGGAATTGGTAAACTTTCTATCCACCTTACAGACAGGAAGACAAAGACACAATATGGTATACTGCCACTGAAGTCAACTGATCCTTTCATATGCTTTCTCATGTAGGCATATGCAGCTCACAGAATAACTTAATGATTTGGTATTTTATAAGAGATACCATTAGGCATAAATTACATAAAAATACTCTAATTTTACAGGAGAAATCTCCCAGTATCTTGCCTGAGGGGAAAACAATCAATTTTGCAGCTTGTTACTTTTGCACAGTTGACTTGAATTACTTTAGAATAAATGAAAAACAGCAGGTAAACCTTTCTGCTGGCAGTAGACTTTCTTTAATGAAAATACCGACAATTACAGAAGGCAGCTGCGTAACAGTTGTGGTCCATAGCTTTTAAACACCTACGCGATGGAGGACTAGGCAAGCCTTCTTTTGTGGCATGGCACTTTCAGACTTTATATGTATAGAAGCATCAGACACAAGAGAAAATGGTCAGCTTGGGTCAAAAGGATGAACAGCTACGTGGGGATTATTTTTTTCTAGGGGCTTTAGGGGGGTACAGGAAGGCTCATCTTCCCTTTCAGCCATTAAGACAAGTCTGGACCCAGAACACCACAACATTCTGTCCCCTCCTACCAGAAAACCCCTACAAAGAAAAGATGTCACGTTGCTGTGCTCGTCCCACCTCAAGACGTTAAGAATTGAATTGAGGTGAACTAGAAGAAGTTGGTTCTGAGTGCAACCCTGGCAGGAAAAACACAGGAGCACTGAGCCTCGAGAAAAAGTTGCCTGAACTTTCAGGACACAACTAGAAAAAGGGTAGCTGAACTGTATAATCAGGAGGTCCACCTAAATCATCTGTGAGAAAGAACGCTTGAGGAAGCTGAAAAAAAATTTTGTACTGGGTGCAACAGTAAATAAATTGGTGCAAAGATGGATCTCACTTGGACTTTAACGTAAAGATTAAAACTCAGTTCTTGAGGTTGAGAACTCTTGTTTCTGTAGTCCTTTTATTTAGAAGAGATTTAACTTGGCTGAGACTTTTATCTGCACAAAACAAAAGGTAACAGGAGCAACAATGCTCTGAGACGCAGTCACATGCAACCCATCACCTTTAACAGAGTATCTGTGGCTGTACCCATGCACTACTGAAAACCTCCTACTGTCAACCCATTTAGCAATATTTTAGACCCTTTGAGATCTACATACAGTATCCAAGTTAAAAATAGACCCTAAAAATTAATCATGATTTACCAATCAGAAGTTCTCCATGGGCGTATGCCACCTAGAGACCTCATCGAGTTCACAACGGACTCTGGAGGTCTTGGCACATCTTCCCCCTTTATTCCACATTGATTAGACAATCCATTTTTCCAACAGGCAAAACTTCTCTCTTAAATACAATCAATTTCAAAACACGATAAATTTTGCTTCTTGGACAGAATGAAGTGATAATGACTATTTCTTTGGGAGACTGATCCTATGACACTTAAAACGTTTCACAATTTCTCTGTAAAAATTCAATATCCCTACTTGAATGCAAATGCAAACCTGAGAACCCTCTTTCTTCTTCCCTCTTTTTTTTTTTTTTTTAAATAAACATAATCCAACTACATGTATATTGTCAAAGGAGTCGCAGTAACTCGCTCCAGTGAGCAATCTGACTTTTTTATTGGCATTCTCTGTCTGCAGTGTCCCAAAGGGCCATGGGGATGAAGCCTGTTAAAAGGGGAGAGAGAGTGTTTGAAGATTCTTTCTTTTTATCTGGTACATAGTGTTTATTTTTTCCTCCTGCACACAGGAGAATGGAAAACAGGAGGTCAATCTTCCAAATCGTATTATTTTGTGCCTGTCATTTTATGAGTTGTATTAACCTGTATTTAGAGTATTTATATTTAACCAGGTTTTTACCTCTTTTGCAAAGATCCAGTTTTGTAACCTGTAAAACCAAACCGTGTAGAATTCACATATGCAAGGTTATAATTTACAGAGCATCTGAGTCTCAGGGTAGCAACCTGAACAGAAAAAAAAAACTTTATCTGAATAAAACCTTGTCAGATCTGATTAGATTGTCATGATGTGTCTGAGGAAAAGCTTGTACTAGGAGCAAGAGAAGTGTCGGCTCTGCCATTTTCTTGTTGCTCACTTGTGCTGGCATTATCAGATTATCTGCGGTTTCTTTGTGGGAATCTTTTTAAGTCATCTGTCTGAGGGGTAGTTAAGTAAAAACTTGAGAATATGCTCCATAAATCCACTTCACCGGGCACACGTAAACTTCAAAACACCGCAATAAGCTGGAAGTGAACAAAGGAGTGATCATGGCACTGTCAACCCCCCTGCATTGCAGAGCACTCGCTTCCCTCGGGCACCTCGCAAACCTCGTGTGCCAGTCTGATGGACGGACCAACCGAGGGTGCTGGCATCAATCTGGGTATTGAATATTAGTAAAGTTGTCTTTTTTTAAGATTATAAAATATAAACAGAAGTTCTGATATATTCTTCATGCACCCCAATGGATTGTCTTGCATGCACGCTGGGGTGTGCACACCCCGCTTTGGACACCACTGCTCTAGAGCAGCAGTTGGTTTTCTTACGTATGACCAAAGCTACATATGCAAGAACATCTCATTATGCTCTTAATTGTTCGTAATTCAGGAGCATATATAACCTGCTGAAGTAATGCATTTTACAATACTATGGAGAATCTGACGCTAAAAAACAAAACCCAACAGTCTACACACAACTTCCAACCCTGCTCTAGCAGAAACTATTATTGCTCTAAGAGATTAGTTAGCATAACGCCAGGCCGGAATTAAATAAAAAGCAGAGACTAAGATTAAACACCACATTCAATTATTAAACGACTTCAGCACTGTCCAGTTTACCAAGCAAGGCTGCCCAGTGAAGGGGAGTTCGAAACAAGTTGTCATAAGATGTCACATTGCAGCCTTCGTAGGAGGTCAGGACGTCAACAACTGCCACATTCCCATCAGCAACGGCAAAATGAAGGGGAGTTCGTCCTTCATAGTCTTGCCAGTTAAGCAGAGATTCTGTAGGTGCAGCTTCCTGTAGGAAAACAAAAATAAAAGAACGTTTAATTTGAAGGGAAAAACTACATATTCTTTACAGATCTGGTTTTTTGAGTCTTATAATAAGGAGATAAACTGTCTTTGTTCAGTCCAACACAGCTCTGCAACCAAATACTTTTGGTACAGTATAAGCTATTTTTAACTATTTCTTACGGATTTTTTTTTTATACTTAATTATTGTACAAGACCTGATTTTCGGTCCATACCCTGTAGTTTTACCAGTCTGTTGTGCAAGTGGCAAGATCTGTACACAGATCCGTAAAGGTCTAACTCAGGAAAATAACTAGATCTTCTTACTTGATTTTCAAGTTGAACACAACGTGTACATCTTCATGTTTTTCTCCTAAGACAGTCCCCTTTTTGCACAAGTTAATCTTACGGCTTTCATGATAGTACTTTGCTAGCCTTTTAAAACCACACGATTGCCGGAGTATTTCTAAAGGACATGTCAAGGTCTCTAGTTCACAGGATAGAAGTTAGAGAGTACTTCTAATCAATGCATCTAATGGGCTTAATTTTGAATTAAAAAAAAAAAAAAAATCTTTAAAAGTATCATGATTAGTCATTTGATCACATAACATAGGCATTATTAGATATAATTTGACTTCTCAGTACATTTTCTTAAAAAACCATGCTAAATTACTTTCACATAAGTCCTCTAGCTATATAGATTCATATTATGATAATCTCCTCTCTCAACAACTTTTCTTCAGACAGATTTCTCTTCGTGACTCTCCCTCTCAGGTAAAAGAACAGAACAGGTACAAACAAACATCATCTCAGCATTGCAGAGATCTCCAAATGGCAAATATCGTAAAGGCCCGCGAAATGCAAACTTTAAACTTCACTTTCCTGAAAAAGGAGGTATCTCTAATGAAAATGATAAACAATAAAACAACAGAAACTCACGATGCGGGACACCAAACATCTAGAGCAGAAGCAGAATGTCAAAACAAGAATTTACAATAAACTACAAGCAGTAAGTCTGCTGTTCTATCTCCAACAATTCAGAACAATTTAACCAGCTTTACAGGTTACAACAATTTTCTCTGAAGTCATGGGAACCCTGCGCAGAAGTAAAAAGGAATGTAAGTCCTGAGATTTTTAACTTCTGACTAGAGTGGATTTTAATCCATGATAACTGAGGAAAAAAAATCCTCCTGAAAATACAGAGCCACACTGTATCTTTCCATATACTTACGAAAGTAGAGGGAGATATTGTGATCAGTGCAGCTTGGTAACAGTTACAGCAAGTTCCTGATCCCTTTCTCACTAAACTAATCACAATTTTTCCTATTGTCTTCACTGGACACACCAAGTTCCTGATCCCTTTCTCACTAAACTAATTGCAATTTTTCCTATTGCCTTCACTGGACACATAAATAGGCCATAAAATCACTTGTATTTGCATTATTTGAAACATATTTGAAAACAAACATCTAACATTGAGAATGATAAATCAAGAAGCAGAAGAGTCAGGAAATTCCAGAGTTACGGTTTCTATCCAAGTATTAATTGACCGAGGCTGTACATTCAATATGTTCTATTTAAGAGATAAAAAAATAAATACATTGAGAGTTACATTTAACATTATTTCCTAAGTGCAATCTGGCTAAATCAATACTCAGTAGTAACCTCAACTCTGCAATGCCCTGATTCTTTGTTTCTTACTGTCTTACTTCCTAACAGTGTCAACTTAAACCTCCTAATATTCGATTCATGTTAAGTTTTCTGAAGTTAAACATTAACATACTTTCCATACTGCATGTAAATGCTAATGAAGTTGCCCATCTTAGGTACAGAAAAACTGCATCAGTTTAGGTATTGCTGGTGTTAGCCACGTTTTGCTAGAGAAAAAAAACTAACTGGAAACATACTGTAGTTCATTTCTGTATCTAGCCCCTAGCACAGCAACAGATAACTGTTAAAAACATTAAAAAATTGATAAATATGAATCTCTTATCTAAAAACACAATCAAAGTTTAACATTGTTACACACACAAACCACAATGATCAAAGCATGAATAACACTTTTTTTAATACACATCCAAAAGCATTTATCTGAGCCATTAGAGTGAAAAAGCAAAGTTTTATGTTCTTCCCTAGCTTTAACAATTCTCAAGAGAAAGCTAACTGATAATATCCTTCCTTTCTGTCTATTCAAAGAGCTCAGCAGGGGGAGTATAGAGCCCACTGCAGAAATTCAAAGTGATCCTTATGAGAAGCACTTTGAAGAACAACTACAAATGAATGATGATACGGATGGAAGTTATTACTGAAATCCTAACTCCACCAGAGGAAAAGCTGTTCGAACAAAACAGACAAACAAGAGAACAAATGCTCCTTCACTTTACCTGTAATTTATTGATGTAATCTAGAAAGCTAATTTTCAAGCCTTCTGTTTTCAAGCCAACATATTAAATAAGTGACTCCTAAAACTCCCGGCTCAAAGTCACTGATGTTCCCCTGAACATACTCCCATAATCAGAAGTGTTACTTCTGCAAAATGGTAAAGAATCTTTTAAACAACAAAACTACTATTTATATTCTCGTCTAAAAGTACTCATGGGTTTTGAAATTTTTAGCAATTTAAACTAAAATTTTCTGGTTCTCTTTCTGCCTACATTCAAGAGTATAATTTCTTTGCTTTTAAGTGTTTTTGGGGTAAAACTAGCTATAATTAAACTGCCATACTACATTAATATGTTAAGCACAATACATAGAAGAAACGGAAGCTACACGTTTTTCTGCCGCAAGTAGAACAATGGCATTGTAGGCAATGGAAAGTGTTGTATAAATAAACGTCATGTCTCTTACCAGGAAGAATAAATAAAGGGAAGAGATACAAAATAGACAGAAAGTACTAAGCAGCTTCCATCATATTAATGGAACCTTATTCTGTTCTTTTCTCCCTAAATCTTCCCAACGTTTTTCATGTAACCAAGCACTGCCAAATCTGGAAAGGTGGAAAAGGAAGTTGACCACAAGAGGATCTCCAGATTAGAGTTTCTCTCTACTTCACATTTACTTTCTAAGTATGTTGCGAGTTCCATTTCTGCTGTACTTCATGGATTTCAGCATCTTGATAGAACCAATTTGTACACAACTGTCACCCCCGCAAACCCAACCTACTTCTTCAGCTTTCCGTTGAGCTCTTTTCATTATTGTTGATTTTGACAATCCCAATGGGCTAAGTACTATACAAACATTGAACAGAAAGATGACCCTTAATTTTATGAATTTATAAACAGGAGACAACAAAGGGACACATCCAGCTGGCAGAGCACAGAAAAACAAGGCAGTATTTTTCAGTATCACAGGCTGTGGTCTCAGTGAAACCAGCAGCTTAACTTTTGTCAAGTTTTTGTAAAGCAGCGCTGGAGAACTCCGAGTAGGACACAAGAGAAAAATAATTTTCTGGGGAATTCTTCCAGACTCTTAAAGATAACACAAGAGGAACAAAAGCAGTGCTGTTTTCCATAACTCAGTCAGCAGGCAACAAAGGCTGCCAATGCAGATTAACCAGCAATACCTGGCTGCTATGAGCAACGGCACACAGCCTACAGCTCATAGCTCTCCACCATGACAGCAAAGATAAATGGTTTGTGTTGGATGCGATTAAAAAAATGGAGAGGCAACAGTGACAGGGAGGCGTAGGCCGTTTGCACTGCTATCACTACAAAACAATATTCTTGTGAACTTAGAAGGGCACCGAAGCGAGTTAAGACACAAGAGGACAGAAACTTTAACTGTATGGGTACCTACGTTAGGAATATCGTGCAGAAAGAATGTAAAACCCAACAAAGTTAACCTGGATGTGAAGACCTAGAGAGGAATGAGAATCAAAGGTGATGCTTAGGCAATAGATCCGGAACTGGGGAAAACGGCAAAGCACCTAAGTAAGGAGGGGAAGACTGTGAGCTCTGCTAGGTAGATATCCATCAAGGCAAGTAAGAAACCCACTTCAGTTTGGAGAGAAGACAACCTTGTACTAAAGCTTTAAACTCAGAGGCATCATCACCAACAAAAAAAGGTATTTATACTCAATAACAGGTTCAATCAACAGATCGATTATGTAGTAACAATATTTCTGTATCACCAACTCTTACAGCACATTCTGTAAGCTAAACTACTATTTTTCATTTACACTTGTTATTATCTTACTCCATCAATAAGCACATACAGATGTAACTATTTGGAATACAAACAAATTGGCTGATGCATGAAAAACCCTAGATGGAATCAAGAATACACTCTTCACTGTCAGAGTAAAAAGAAAGAACCAAAAAACCTGGACATGACCGTGACTCTGTATTACCTAAAGAGAATCTTGGAGAACACCTCCAGTAAGGAGACAGGTAGCTTTGACCTTTTGTAGTGCATCTGGCTGGGATGGAGTTAACTCTCCTCGCAGCTGCAGGTGTGGTGCCAGGCTTTGCATCTGGGATTAAAACTGTTGATAACACACCCGTGATTTGGCTGTTACTGCACAGTGCTTGCACAACATCAAGGATTTCTCTTTTTGATGCCCTGTCCTGCTCCCCGCAGTGAGTAGGCTGGGCATTGGCAAGAAATTGGGAGGGGACACAGCTGGGACAGCTGACGCGAATGACCCAAGCAATATTCCATACCATATGACATCATGCTCAGCAGAAAAAAGCTCAGGGAAAGGAGGAGGCAGGGGAGGATGCTCATGGCTACACCGTTTGTCTTCCCAAGCAACAATTAAGTGTGCTGAAGCTCTTTTCCCACTTTCCTGGGAGCGGCTAATATCTGCCTGCTGATGGGAAGCAGGGAATAAACTCCCTTTTTTGCACACAGCTCTTACTTTTCATACTAAACTGTCATTATCTTCATCCACGCCTCTTCTTGCCTTCCTTCTATTTTCTCCCAAGACGCTGTGCGGGTGTGAGGCTGTTGGCTGGGGCCAACTCACAGAACTTTTAAAAACATTTACCTGACTATCCAACGTCTGAAAAAGTCTGTACTTGAACACAGCAATCCTTACCTACTTATCAGCAAATTTATTTCTCTAGTGTAGCAGAAAACTAAAACTTTGTGACAAATTTTTTTTTGGTTACAAATTATTTCACAACTGAGTCAAAACTACAAATATCTTGAATAAATAGAAGTAACACAGAAATAAAATCACACAAATTTAACACTGGAAACTTCTCAAAACCTATTTTTATAGTAAAAAAAAAAAGCATCAGTAAGATTATCAATGTGATTTGGAAGAAAGCAAATAAATTTTCATATGCCACACAGAAGGTCTCAACTTGCTAGCTAATCAGGCAAACAGACGTATACTCATTGTAGTTAGCAAGATGCAACTGAGATGAGTAATATGACTGGCCATTTTAACTAGAAGAACTCGCAACCCCTTCCTCCCTCCCTCACCGCCCAAATAAATAGTTACACACTTCAAACTAATTAAGAGAATATATCTAGACCACACATTAGAGCAAAGATATTCACCCACAGAACTCAAAAGAAAGCTCTTTCAAGAATGTAAAAACATTTAAGATGATTTCTTCTAAAATTCTGGATATCAGGAAAAGCAAATTATTTCATTCTCAAAATGTCAGCGGACTAAAATGAAAAATTTCAAGAGAATTAAAAAATATTTCTAAATTAACAAACACACAGAGTGTTATATGTGTATAAAACTGACTCTCTTACCAGAATACATTTCACTGTGTGAATTGCACTAGGGTCCTTGTTGTTAGCTGCCCAGTGAAGTGGGATTTTTCCTTCAATATCAGGGATGCCGATATTTGAATCGTGTTTTATGAGAAGTTTCACATGCTCTGGGTTATTGTAGTAGGCACTCCAATGCAATGCAGTTTGCTAGAAAACAATAGTCACAAGTTTTACAAACACACTGAAAAATGAATCCAAGATGAAAACTGAAGTTGGTTAGAACCTGAAATGTGATTTAACTATATTTTCACAGAATGAAGGAGACCACCTAGTCCAACTCCTCTGTTAAAAGCAGGGTCAACGAGAACAGGTTGATCAGGACAGGATCTGTCCAGACATATTTTTAGTTATATCCACAGATAGAGACTCCATAACCTCTCTGGACAAGCTCCCTCAAAATTAAAAAGAAAAAGAAAAAAGTTTCCTCAGGTTTGAATAGAATTTATTGTATTTTAACTTGTGCCCATTGCCTCTTGTCAGTTCACTGGAGACCATTCAGAAGAGCCTGGCTCCATGTTCTTTACTGCCTCCCATCAGGTGTTTACACATATTTGTAAAACCACTCCTGAACTCTCTTCTTCAGGCTAAACAGTCGCAGGTGTCTCAGCCTCTCCCCGATGTCAGAGGCTTCAATTTGTTAAGCATCTTTGTGGCTCTCCACTGGACTTGCTCCAGAATGTCTGTGCCCTTACGGTGCTGGAGAGCTCAGAAGCAGACACAGCATTCCATTTGTGGTGCCACCAGTAGGGAGCAGAGAGGAGGGGGTAAAACCAGCTTTAAACAATGGGTAAATGAGCAATCTGTCATAAAACAGGCTTTAAATAAAACTGAACAAGAGGCCCATCTACCTGAGTAAGAGTAGATACTCACATATCTTTGCTGCTGAGGTCTGAATTAGGCCTAAGCTACACCACCTCACAGGAAACCCACACTGAGAAACCCTTATGCTGGGAATACAAGTATTTCTGGTAGGAGATTCATTGCTTGGTATGAGGATGTCTTGGACTATGGCAGGAGGATATGTCCATGCTACTTAGCCAGCCAACAGGGCAGTGCCATCGCGTGCAGCACCAGGTGGAGAAAATATCTGAGCTTGGTAGTAAGGAATCATGTCCAAGTCAGAACGATCCTCTGATGCAGGCCTCAGCACCAGAGCTGCACTACAGAACAGCTGCAGTAGTTAGTTTGGTCCCTCTTAAATTTGGAAATCTCTTTGGAAATCAATAACACAAATTGATGGATAAGCATATAACAAATTACTCTCCACTAGAGGAGGATGGCACTGAATACTGACACCAGAGTCGGATCCATCTTGAGCAGAAGTTTTGACCTTCTGCACCGTCCTCGATCACGCAGAATTCTGAGGTTGAATATTACTGAATCTAACGCCCACCGACGCATGGCAGCCCAATAAAATATCAAATGGCAATCCATGCTCCTATTGTCAATTCCTGACTGCCAGTGGCTTTTTACGGGCATTATCGATGTTCATAACCACATAAGCAAACCGATGCGTGCGGGGGGTTTTTTTAAACAGCAAAATGTTGGTACATTAACACGTATTTTATTTAACACGTGTCTCTCAACTGCCAAGTAGCAGAGGGTTGTAAGGTACGGAATTAATCTTATTTCCCATCTCTCTTCCCCCCTCACCCCTGCAAAATATTACATGGCACTTTGGTTTGAAAACTGAAAGAAATAACTGCTGCTGGACATTTGTGTATAAGCCTACAACATCCTGGATTAACATCCTTGAAGAAGAAGATAGAATGTATGAGTTCATTATTGTATCCTGAACATCTCTGTGAAGGAGGGAGGCAAAAAGGAGCCCATTTTCTGTGTTTGTTGCTTTGAGCTGTTAGTTTGGTACCATGGTAACATAATATGATAGCCCAATATTTTTTGTCTACTTGGTAGTTCACAGAAAAAGAGCTCATTCTAAGACATAACTGGAGGGGCTGCAAGGAAAGGTCTGATAACTGTCACCACATACAACATACAGCCTAGCCCCATAAAGTTATCTTCAAACCATCACAGCCTGTTGGGATTTGAACTGAAAAACATTATAGCAGTAGAAATTTGTAATAAATTAATAAATGTTATTTCTTAAGTGGAGCTGACCAGTATCCCTAGAAACTGGCAGCTGCAATGAGAGCAAGAACTTTTCATTACCAGGAGGCCGATATAGCCTTGGTCTACTGGCTTCTCTCCCCTACAGCCTGCTTATCAGTCAGTTGCCTACATGGAAGCAGATATAAAAGACAGTTGTCCTCTCTCAAGTTTGGGAATTATATTTGACAATCTTGATGTGCAATAAGGAAAATGAATAAGCCATGGGCCCAACAGGGTCAAACGCTTTGGACTCTGTCCCTGAAACCGCCTTTCATCAACCCGAATTCCATCTTTGCTACTGTGACTACTCATGACACAAACTGGAATAAAAGTGCTCTACGTGTTGTGGGAAATTTGGCAATGCTTTAATATCGCCTTGGAAATCTGCTAAACAACAGGCAAGGTTCCTAAAAGGTTTTGGCTGGTTTCCATATACCTTTGTTAATTAATTAACATGGTCAGGAAGTCAGCATGACCCCTCAGAATGACTGCTGTAATCACAGCCAGGGTTTCCATGACACATGTTAGAATACCCTGGAAGGCAAACAGCTGATTGCTAGGGCACAGAGTGGTCCGACTCCATTGTCCAGAGGGGACAGAAGACTCATTTGTTGGACACTGGGCTTGCACCTGTCCTATCCTACTTCAAACATGATAAAATCAGATAAGGATTTCAGAGTTTAAGCAGTTAGATCACTAGAAAGTCCAGTCCCCTTCTCTTACGGTAGAATGAGAACCCACTGCATGAGGTAGTGGAACTCATCATTCCCTGAGACCAACCTTGCGAAGCTGGTATGTTGGTCATCAGTTGATCCAAACACACTTGATCACAGCACTCACATTTGAATCAGTGGTAGAGTAGTGGCTGGTGGGGAGGGTTTGACACGTGTTCCAAGATCACTTGCAGATGGTAAGAAACAGATCTTCCTGCTCAATGTTTAAAACACCTCCACCATCTGGAACAGTTCCAGTTGTATTCAATGCCATGCCTACCTTGTCACTGATAGTTACCCAAATAATTGGGTTTTGGTCTTCCTTTTGCTATCTACATTCACACTGTCTCATTTTTTGTTACTATATCCTTGCAGAAAAAAATTGGCTTAGGGAACATTCATATCTCTAGGGTCTTTGGATACACAAACTGCTCAAGCACGTGAAATTTAAACCAGATATTCCCAGATTAACAGGTTCACAATAATTAGTAGAATTCTGCCTACTGGAGGCAATGTGTTCATCTCCCAAACAGAACACACACCAAGCATCCCAACGAGAGGGACAAACCTGTTTTGTTCAAAATGTATGTGAAAACACAAGAAATCCTTTACCTAGAACGTCTGTCAGGACTATGTGAAAGTCCTGTCCCTCCTCATACCCTACTATTAACGCTAATGGAGGCGACCATTTCACAACAGTTTTAAATCAAGCACTGCTAAGCACTCAGACTTAAGAACAACATTAATCTGAGCACCTCAAAAAAAATACAGCTACTACATGCGAAATAACTATTCCTTTTTTAAAAATGGGTTAGTGTGCTGTTACTGTGGACTAGCCATACCACTCTGTATGAAGAATAATAGTAAATCAGTTGTTTTAAGAACGGTACCGGTTTCCTTCTAAGATCCATCACCTCTTCTGGCTGGTCATTTTAACGATAGCCCTTTTTAACAAACATCAGTAGATTATTTCCTGAGGCTCTCATAAGCCAGCGTGCTTCTGAAGCAGGCTGGTAATGTTATTGATGTGGTAGAGCATGACTTGACTTTGGAAAGGGACACAATGATATATGCACTGTATGATATACCTGGAAAGACACCTTGAGAGTTCCTGGCTTTTCAAGCAACTGTTGTCACCACAGACGCAGAAAATTAGTCTGAAGGACTTTAAGAAAGTAGTAAGGTAAAGCTCCGAAGATGTTAAGATTACATTTTCTCCCAAGGAAGTCTGCGGTTTCACAAAACAAACGCCGAAGTGACTAACTGGTACTCAGCTTCACATGGAAGTCTGATGCCAGAACATCAATCCACTTCATTGCGTGCCTCTCACTAAATGATGCGCTCATGGAAGCAACAGTGCATGTGCATTGAGAGCAGACCTTCTGCTGCCAATTGGTCCATTTTATGATAATAATAACAACAACAACTTGATACTTTTTATTGTTCCTGTTAGAAAATCTTGACAAATGGCATCATATTCTATCCCAGGCCAAAAAGTCATGTATGACTAGGAGACTCTAAAAATTGTCCATATTTTACTTACAGGGACACAGAAAAAAGCACAGTTGACCACATGGATTTAGTCTGTGGATATTTTTTACCCTTGGACCACCCTTGTGGATGGAAGTAATGGAGTGGAAGCGAAGGAGTAAAGTTGAGCCAGGAAAAAAGGGGTGGTGGTGGTCTGAAGATGGTGTTCTAATTTTTATCTCTGTTTCTCACTACACAAAACTACTTTAATTGGCAACAAATGAAACTCATTTTCTTTAAGTTGAGTCTGTTTTGCCTGTGACAGTAACTGGTGATCAATCTTCCTGTCTTTATCCCAACCCATGAGCTTTGTCAACCTATATCCTCCACATGTCCAGTCAAGGAGGGAAGTGAGAGAGCGGCTGGGTTGGCACTTAGCTGCTAAGCATGGCTGACCCACCACACATCTCTAAACAATAGGGCCATGGACATCTGTGTCAATGTCACCACCTTTTTAGTGGCCCCAGTACAGGGCAAAACCGGTCATCCAGTGGTTTTTTGTTTGTTTGTGGGGTTTTTTTTGTTTTTAAAAAACCCCTCACCTTTGGTATTGATGAACACTTTGAAGGCCTTTTACACAAAGTTTTCTAGTGACTCTTCTCATTAAATGATTCTAAATGTAGAGTTTTCCAAGGAAGAAAAGCAAGATAAGCACTTGCTATCCAGATTTGGACAGGGATCACAAAGTTACAGAAAGACTTGGACCTTAAAACCAGTAGTTTTCGAATCCTCTATTATTCTAGGTACTTTCACCAAGAATGTCAATGAACTCAGTGCAATGAACTTTTAAATCATTATCATCAGAAAAATATTGTTTCTAAAGGTGATCATTATAACACCAATGTTAGCCACTATATTGAAGACTCAGAAAAAGTTTATCACTGAAATAATTTTTCACACACAACTCTTCGATGTAACACCAATTTCTGAAGCTGCTACAAGCATTGTCTTAAAATAAGCAATGTTTTTACCTTGTTTCTGTCCTGGGTATCCACTTCTCCAGGCGCCATATGTTTTAGCAACAAAGCTAAACATTTTGGGCTTTTGTGACGTGTAGTTAAATGTAATGGTGTCATGTCCTCCAAGTCCTTCTGCATCCAGTTCCCTCTACGAGCCAGTAAAAGTTTCATGAAGCGGTAATTTCCCTGGGTGAAGAAAAATACAGAAATTTATTCCAGTTGATCAAATCAAATGATGATACTGTTTAGATATATTTACTGTTGTATTACAGTGTCTAAAAAACTGCACCAAACCAGCTCTAAGCTTCAGAACCATCAAATGAAGAGTTTTTGTTAAAAAACATTGTCTTGATTTTTTTAAGTCTGTTTGGTACTTAGTATTATGATACATACCTTCCATTAGCGGAATGTCTAAGACAGGGTTCAGTAATACAGAAAATTCTGCAATATTGTCAGAGTTTCTTGCCAGCTTAACTTCAATAAACACCATGGGAAAAAACAAGACCATTACGTGCTGGTTTGAGCAGGGTAGACAGTTATCAGATGAGGAATAAAGCTAAACATGAAGAAAGATTACCATTTTCAAAACAAAAGAAAGAAAAAATAACAGGGAATGCTTTAGAGAGATAAAACGTACTCATCTGAATGAGGAACAAATATACAGAAAACTGTTTCTTACATTTTTAAATTGGGAACTATATATGAGTTTTGATTTACTGTGAGCATGACAAATGGACGGGACAGCTAGCTTTGTAACTTGTTCACAATACTTAACACTCTGCACTTACTAGGTTTTCAAAAGAAATAATGTAGAAATACTCCTGCGACTAATAACTGAGGGGGGATCTCAAAGAAAACAATCTGGTTTTATTTCTCAAATCATTGAAGAAGCCAGTCAAAAATGACAGATATAACCATGCAGTCATGAAGAAGCTATAGTGATTTAAGGTATAGCCAGCCTTGGCTTGCTATTGCCCCTTGCTTGGAGGTTATTTTCCATACAACAGAGATGCTACATACAACATTTTCACTTCACTTCAATACAAAGTCTATCGGGTTCTTCAAACCACCTTCAGCAGTTAAGCTTCAGTCAAGGACCAGTAACAGCTGAGGCAATAATTCATTAAAGTAAAACATCTGGATCTAGCTTGTGTGACCATGTTTTAAACAGGCCTATCCTTTCCCCACTCTAACTTTTAATCTTTCCTGAAGTGAAGGAGCATGCTGTCTCCCAATGTTTCCCAAAATAGTAGTTTTTGCCAATTTCATATATTGACAGTTTCAAGTACCAACTATCCATAAATATAATGAAAATAGAAAGCTCAGAAGAAAAGAGAAATTGTACTAATTCCCCCCACTAGGGGAAAAGCTGCAGCATTTAAGGAAGCTTTGTTAGACAATGTACACAGGAAAGGTGACACTCAAATCAATAGAAGTCATGTCTTCGGATCCTTCTGCTTATGGAACTACCTGCAAATTAACATATTTCAGTCAGCTACAATTCTTTGATAAATCCTGTACCTTAACCTGGTCCCTTTAGGCTGCCTTTGGAAAAACAACAGAAAAAAGGTAACCATGCAGACAAGTGCAAGCAGCGCTAATGAATTGGGGCACTTTGTGTATCATAAGACTCTTGAGTTGCAAATCACTTTGTCAGCAGAATGGTAGGGTGGAGATGGACCAAAGGATTCCAGAGGCCTCCACAATATCCAGTGCCAGAGCATAAAAATATTCTAGTTTCCTTTTTCATAGCAGCCGCAAACATCAGAAGGGCAGATTTCACATGTATTACTGTTCTGCTCTTTGTCTAATAAAAATGGAAGAGTTGAGCTTTATGTGAGCCAGAACGGATTTCACAGAGCATCCCTAAAATAAATGAACGTGATATTTTTTTTTCCCTGCTATACTATTTTATTTTAAAATACAAAACAGGGAAAGCAAATCATGAGTAAGATCAGACAAAAAAACTTCTTCCTGCTTCTGCAGTTTGTTGTCATCAGTCTTTGCTATTCAACAAAAGCCTACAAGAAAAGTCTGCTAAAAACGTTACCACAAACCTGCCTGAAAATGCAAACTTCTCTTGCCAGAGACAGCACAGATACTTCAACTGCACTAACAGCGGGTAGTGACTAATTCTCTTTCTTCTGCTGGGTGCCAGGGAAAGCATAACCTTAGAATCTTGTGCCTCTAATACACAGACACACATCAAGGCATATATGAATACAGGGGCAGAACAGCATAATGTCTGCATAGCTACTAATCCACACAGAACACACTAAAAATGAATTAATGACGAATTTGGGAATGAGTTAGGGATGAGAAAACTCCTCATTATTGCCATTCTATTTTACAGGTAAACATAAGAAGAATTTGCACAACTCACTAAAAAAGAAAAAAACTAGCAGAAAATCACGATGTATCATGATGTGGTTGGGAATTAGACTGGGGGAAGACAACACGAAATAACTTGAAAGAGTATTAGTCTTGGAAGAAACATGGCTGCTTTCCTCCATCACAGAGGATAACGCATTTGGGTTGTTTCCAGTATTTCCTGCTCCATGTGCATGCATGAAAGAAAAAAATTTATTTCCTTTTGTTGACGGATACTTATTGGAAGGTTTACAAGTATATTGTGCTTTTTGAATGAATTCACCTGAAAAGCAGAGTCAAAGTTAAAATGATACATAAAACTAA